TTTGATTCTTCTCTTGCTGCAGGTGAGAAAACTGAGGTTGGTTCCTCAAGGTTACAAAGACTGTGTCCCAGACACTCATCCAGGGGGCCGTTGTAGAATTCCGGACCGTTCCTGACGGGCAAAACGTCCAAAAAACCCATTTGGAGCTGAACTTTACATCGAGGTTCCCAACCCTGACTCGTTCCTTTCTGTATTCCACCGTGAAAACCCCCAGGACGATACTACTCAATCCATGTTTCTTGAAGGAACGATGAACAGATTCCTTGAGAAATGAGAGCCCTGGGGGGGGGGGGGGATTCTGTTCCCATAAGACAGAAAAAAGGATCCCCCAAGACATTCTGAAGCTACCCATTTGAATTCCTGAGACAAATAAAATGAGAGACGTGTACAGTATGGTCGCAGAATGAAGTCGACGACGTTATTCGATCGAGGCAGGTTTCAGGTATTAGGAAATAAGAGTTCCAAGAATTTCCGGTGTGTGTCATGGGCAGGTAACTGAGATGTGGCCGGAGGTCGGCAATAGTAATAAGTAGCTGTTAAATACTGCATCAGTCAGCTTTCCTGTACTGTAACACAACGGATGAGAAAAATCAACTTATAAAGAGGAAAGGTTCATTTGTGAACCTTTTGCCATCCGTGGTTGGTGGCGGATCCTTTTGCTTTGGGACTGTGACCAAGTCTCAAAGACCACATCATAGTGGGGAGTGTGTCGTGGAGGAAAGCTACTCACTTCATGGCCAGGACAAGAGAGAGAGAGGAAGAGAAGAAGTACCCCATAATTTCCTTTGAGGGCATGACCCCAATGACCTAAAATCTCCCATTAGGCCCCGCCCCTTAAAGGAGATATCCCCTTCCAATAGTGCCAAACTGAGGACCAAGTTTCTAATCCACGGGCCTTGGAAGAACATTCTAGATCCAAACCAGAGCAAATCCATATAGGGGATTGAACTCAGGGGGACTTTACCAATGACCACATCCTCAGCCCGTTTTTTAAAAATATTTTATTCAGAGACAGGCTGTTGCTGAGTGGCTGAGGGCCTCACTAAGTGGCTGAGGCTGGCCTCCACCTTGCCATCCTCCTGCCCCGGCCTCCCGAGGTGCTGGGATGACAGACATGAACTTTGCTCTCAACTCCACAATCACTCAGTAAAGGACTATTTCCCAGCAGCAACCTCCACCCAGACCCTCTCTTCCGCCTTTGGCAACTTCCCAAAAGAAAAGCAATGTCCTTCCCCACTGAGTGCCCAAGGTCACTCTGCTATAAAATTAAAAAAAAAAAAAATTGGTGAGGAAGAAGAGGAGGAGGGTAAAGGGGAAGGGGACAGCAGACGGCAGGGTATGGGAACCACGGCGCATTCCATTCCGCTAGACCTGTCTCAAGCTCACGGCCACCCAAGCCCAGAGGTGGCCCCAGGAGCGGAACCCTTGGAGGGCCACTCACTCTGTGAGTGTCTCTCTCATAGTTATTAAGCCAAAAAAAAAAAAATTGTCAACACATTTTTTCAAACATTTCCCACAAAAACACATTCCTTGTAAAACGGGTGGCGATCTATTTTGGAACCGCATCCCTCAAGGAACCTGGACTCAAATCTGTCCCCCTGCAGCGCAGCGCGGCTTCCGTCCCCCGAACCTTCTAAATATTCTTTCCCTGTCCACGTGGGACCCCGGCCTCGGGGAGACAACACCTCGGGGCCGCCCCCGGACACGCCTGGCAGCTGCCGCCTCTCCCTACTCCTGAGTTATAGAGAAAGAACAGACCATGCACACTCACACTCACTCACACTCACACACTCATGCACACAATAACACACACAGTCACACTCACACTCACTCACACACACACTCACACACCACACACTCATGCACACAAACCCACACACGCATACTCATACACACTCACACTCACACACACACACTCACACACTCATGCACATGATCACACACACATTCACACACTCACATGCACTCACACTCACACACTCATGCACACAATAACACACACAGTCACACTCACACTCACTCACACACACACTCACACACCACACACTCATGCACACACACCCACACACGCATACTCATACACACTCACACTCACACACACTCACACACTCATGCACACGATCACACACACATTCACACACTCACATGCACTCACACTCACACACTCATGCACACAATAATACACACAGTCACACTCACACACACTCATGCACACACCCACACACGCATACTCATACACACACTCACACACTCATGCACACAATCACACACATTCACACACTCACACTCACATGCACTCAACACACACTCATGCACACACTCACACACCACACACTCATGCACACACACACACCCACACACGCATACTCATACACACTCACACAGTCATACACACACACACTCTCACACATGCACTCATGCACACTTACACACATTCACACACTCATGCACACACACACACTCATGCACACAGACCCACACACTCTCACACACACATACACTCACTCTCACACACACTCACATTCATGCATGCACACACACACTCATACTCAGACACTCACGCACTCACACTCATGCACACTCACACACTTGTTCTCACACACACACTCATACTCAGACACTCACGCACACTCACACTCATACTCACATGCACTTACACGCACTCACATTCATGCACACACTCACACTCGTGCATGCACACACACACTCATACACACATTTACACTCACACGCACTCACATTCACATGCACTCATGCACTCACACTCTCAGACGCACTCACATGCACTCACACACTCATACACAGGCACACTCACACACCACATTACTCACATTCACACACACACTCAGACTCATACACATGCACACTCACACATTGCTCACACACACACTCACATTACTCACACTCTCAGACTTGCACACACCTCACACATGCTCACACACACACTCACACAGAGACACACACACATCTCTCTTTAGCACTTTCCCTCAGATATTTGCACACAGTCAGCTCACTGATAGTGAGGAGGGCGCCTTTATACTTGGTAAATAAAGGGAACGCTCTGTGGCCTCCGCAAGCACACTTTTAATTTATTTATTTTTATTTTATTTTTGGTACCTGAAATTGAACCCAGGGACGCTTCACCCCTGAGCCCTGTCCCCAGCCCTTTTTCTATTTTATTTAGAGACAGGGTCTCCCTGAGCTGCTTAGGGTCTTGCTAAATGGCTGAGGTCAGCCTCCACCTTGCCATCCTCCTGCCTCAGCCTCCCCAGCCACTGGAATGACAGGCGTGAGCTCCTGCACCTGGCAGCTAGTGTATGTCTATGAGTTATTTTGGTTTCGTTTTATTCTCTGTGGTGCTGGGGATGGAGCCCAGGGCCTTGCCCAGGCTGAGCAGGTGCCCTGCCACTGAGCTGCACCCCCAGCAGCAAATCTATTTTAAAACCTGCCATGTTGGGCAGACAGGCGGATTCTTCCGGGAAGGGTGATATTTTGGGCCAAAACGGCTGCTGGGCGTAGCTGTAATGACCGTGTTCTGGGATTCAGCCTCTGTGGCTGCAGCCTCTGAGGCTCTCCCCTGGGTAGGACCCGCACACCCTCCCTGCCATCTCTCCCGTCACCCCGGCCCGTCTGCATGCATGGAAGACCAGGGGTTTCCAGTGAGTCACCATCAGCAGCTGGAAGGCCCCGGGGACGTGGGCACATGAGCCCCGGTTTCCCCTGGGCTATGTTTAGAGTGTCACAGGAAACCCCAAAACTGCTGGCCTTCACACCCTTGCAGAGGTGGACCGCTGTCCTCCACTTCCCTGTCCCCGCCTCTCTCCCTCACCAGGTCCTGCCTGGGATCCCCTCTTCAGACACGCCCCCCCCCCCCCCAGAGGACCCTGGTGGCCCTCTCCGGTTCCAAGCCTGAAAGCAGTTGATTCCACCCCCCACACACAAATGTCCAAAGGGGGTTCCTAAGAGATCCCAAGCCTCCCAGGCTGGGGGCTCCTTCTCCTTTCTGTTCCTTCCTGGTAAACATTTACAGTCCAGCTCAATGGGTGACGGTGACATCTCCTTGAATAGGACACAGGCCTACTGGGACAGTGTGTCTGTTATAAGGGAGTCCCAGTGGGCACGGTGATAGATGCCTGTAATCTAGAGGCCCGGGAGGCTGAGGCAGGAGGATCGCAAGGTGGAGGCCAGCCTCAGCAACTTAGTGAGGCCCTGAGCAACTCAGGGAGACCCTGTCTCTAAATAAAATATAAACAAGGGCTGGGGACCAGGCTTATCAACACCGCTGCGTGCACCCCAGTTCCCTGAGCATACTGAGAAACCGCCTGACCCCCCACAAATCCGGTGCTTTAAGACGTCTGCCTAAATAACGAAATGCTAGGATACACTTGAGCCACGAGGTCCCTGCCATTAGACTCAGCCTCAGATTTACAGACATCAGTGTTGTTACAAATCGTGTTAATTGAACCCAGGGGCGCTTCACCCTGGAGCCCCATCCCCAGCCCTTTTTATGTTTTATTTAGAGACAGAGTCTCGCTGAGTTGCTCAGGGCCTTGCTCAGTGGCTGAGGCTGGCCTCCACCTTGCGATCCTCCTGCCTCAGCCTCCCGAGTCCCTGAGATCACTTGTTTAATGTTTTTTTGGGGGGGGCCCAGGTGGTCTTTTGAGACGTTTTCTGTTCTCCTGGCTGAACATACTCTGGGAACCTCTTGGGATTCATCCGGGGTTGAGCGCCTATGACTTGGACAGCCTCACCACATCCATTGGGAGTCCCTTGGGAGAAATCCAGGGCCCATTTTGCACGAGAGCACTTGATAGACGGAAGGGAGGGTTACTGGCCCTGGGGCAAGTTCTCGGGGTGCTGGTCACACCTATTTCTCGGCTCACATGACTACACGTCCTTAACTTCGAAACAGTCACATCATGCAGAAAGAGCACGGATGGCGGATGGCGGTAGGACCCACGGCGCGTGGCCAGCCTCCCCTGCCCCACCCGGGCACTCACCGTGGTCATGTGCAAACACCAGTATGTCCAGCCCCATCAGCATCTGAGCCAGCTCGTCATAGCGGCCACAGTGTTCCCCGGCGCCATGGGACACAAACACAAGGGCCCTAAGGAGGGAAGAAGGAACTCTGTTAGCAAAGTCCAAGAGACCCCCCCCCGCCCCCCGCGGCGCCTAGAGTCACAACGAACCAGGACCAAACCCTGGGGGCTGTGGGGCTGGGGCTCTGTGGCAGAGCGCTGGACCTGGCACATGGGGGGAAAAAACTGGACTTTGAGCCCAGCATGTTGGTGCCCACCTGTCATCCCAGTGGGGAGGCTGAGGCAGGAGGATCCCAAGAGGGAGGCCAGCCTCAGCAACTTAGGGAGGGAGACCCTGCCTCTAAATAAAATCTATTAAAATGGGGTGGGGGGGTGCTGGGGATGTGGTTCAGTAGTTAAGCACCTCTGATTTCAATCCCCAGTCCCCCCCCCCCCCCCAAAAAAAAAAAAAAAAAACTAGACTTGAGAGCAGGGCCAAAAGGGAGGCCAGATCCTGCCTCTCCCTGGGAGCCCCAGGCCATGTACCAACCGGCAAAACTTTGTTTCTTCACCTGGAAAAAGACCGTGATAACATGCAAGTTGATGCTGGTGGATGTCACTTGTGCTGATTCATAGCACAGGTAGAGGGCGGGCACGTGGCAGGCTCCCATCGGGGCTGGTTCCCCCCCTCCCCTGGGGGGGGCAATTTTGATTCTGAAATATCCAATTTTCAAGACTCGGATTCTTAGCAGAAAATCCTTGGGGACCTCGAGATCCCTTTAGGCAGAGAGAATTCAAGACGCTGGCTGCCAACTGTCAGGGGTGAGGTTGGGGGCGGGGAGCCAGAGATGGATAATCACAGCTGCTATTTTAAAGAGCCTCGACTACCTGTCAGTTCCTTTGTTAATGCCACCTAGCAGATTTTGAATCCTCCCCGTCGTCGTTGTCGCTGAATGCTTTCTCTTCTTTACAGAGGAGAGCAAAATTCAGAGACGTTAAGTCCACCCGCCCGGGGTCACACAGCACATTGGTTAAAAAACGTATCTCAGAATATCTCCCCACCTGGATATGCTTTCAGGTCTAGGGTGGGCTCAGAACCCAGACCTTATCTCAGAGAGGCCTCCTCATCTTCAGTTCTGTGAAGGTAGGAGCCAGGTGCTGGGTTTGTTGAGTGCATAACCAACTTGCTCAGAATGCTGTGTCCTTTCTACCATTCCTTTTGGCCAAGTTGTATGAACTGGTGAGGGCACCGGTTTGTTTTGCCTGCTACGGATTTTATTTTAGGAGTGTTTTTATTTTATCTTGGTTTCTAAATCACCTTTAGCATCTGTCTCCCCCTGTTCTTTCTTTCCTGAAAGCTGCTGAGACTGGCTGGCCTCCAACTGGAGATCCTCCTGCCTCAGCCTCCTGGGTCGCTGGGAGGACAGGTGTGCGTCACGACGCCCGGCTACTTCTCTCAATTTTGCTTTGGGCAGATTACACCTGCCCTCTGGATGTTTCTGGGGCCAGCCGTCCACAGGGCTGGAACCTCTAACCAGTCATTATTTCCATATTGAAGGGGCTGAGCTTCCGGAAGGGATGGTTCAAGCACTCCAACATCCTTTGGGAACGCAGCAGCTGCTGGATTAACTCATGCTACAGTTTAACTGCAGAACAGGTCAAAGGACGAGGCCAGATCTTACCATAAATCTGCTCCTCACCGCAGTCAGGGGCCATAGGGCAGGAGAGAGCTTCAGGGTTGCATTTAGGGCCCCAAGAAATGGCACCAGACACGTCACCAAGCCTGGCACTGCCTGTCGACAGAATCCACTCCGCACTCAAGCAGGTGGGGAAACCCTTGGGGGTCTTTCTCTGCAGCCACCCTTTCTACTCCCTGGAACGCAATGGCAGCCAGAAGGCAGCCCCAGGAGAACTTGACAGCCACTCTGGAGCCACTGAGCTCCCTGGGGGACATGCAGGGGGGACCATGGGCTCTACCCATAGAGGCGTGGAGCTTTGGGGAGCTCCCTGACGGACCTGGCTGCCCCACTGCTGGTTGCCCCAAATATGGCTTTGCCTTGGCTCGGCACAAGTGGGCTCTGCGGCAGCACCTGCAGGCTCCACCTCCCGCTGCCACGCCCAGCTACTCCAGCCCCGCCTCTGCCACGCCCTGTTATTCCAGCCCCGCCTCCCGCTCCTATTCCAGCCCCGCCTCCCGCTGCCACGCCCTGCTACTCCAGCCCCGCCTCTGCCACACCCTGCTATTA